AAAAAAAAAACCCAAAAAAGTGCTTACGCGAATAACAATTCGATGTACTTTGAAACGATGCGCATTCAGGCTATTGTGATTCGCAAAATAGCGACCACAACGATCGCATTGATATTTCAGTGGACGTTCATCATCGTATGATTTTTGGCCTGCATCCGTCGATTGCAGCATCTCCTCGCCTTCCTAAAAAAAACTTCTATTTTGTATCAAAGACATCGAAATCATGTTAAAATGTAGCTCATAAAGCATCGAACGGCCTGGCATAGCTGCGCTTGGCGCTTGGGAGCATCCCAGTAACATCACTAACAAGGAATACCTACATTATCTGCCCAAGCAGTCTTGGTATTTTTGGTATATTAAAATATCACAGTTTTCTACCAAACACAAAGGCATCCTACTGTATTTCAGGGGTGGTAACAGTGTGAACAGAAAGGTATTTTGAAATAGGAAAGAGGGTGGAGGAGAAGACATGACCCTAAACATAAACCCAACGAATTCCAAAACAGCTAAAAGTGCGCCAAGTGTTTCTAACGAAAAAACCACCAAAGACGAGACAAACGTTAGGGGGCGCCGGTAAACTGACTAGAAAGCGATTCAGTATTCGATAGTGCAATTGAAAAAGTTATCATATGTACAGCTGGAGAACTAAAACATGAATTACCACTGATCCCAAGTTTTTAATTTGCTATAATTTTCGAAAATTTTAAAGTCTAAAAATTTTTAAATTTAGAAAACCCCCAAAAACGTAGGAAAATCACTGGGACTGTACTCGTTCAAAACACGAAACGCTTAAAAAAATCCCTAATTAGGCCCATATGAAGTTGATCAGAGCGAAACAGGGGTAGATAAAAAAATATGAATTATTACTGACTCCAAGTTCCTAGAGTACTATAATTTTTAAATTTTTAAAGCCCTAAAAACTTCTAAATTTAAAAAGTCCCCAAAAAAGTAGGAAAATCACCGGGGCTGTACTCGTTCAAAATACGAAACACTTAAAAAAAAATCCCAAATTAAGCCCATTTGAAGTTGATCAGATTGAAACAGGGGTAAATACCATAAAAGATCACAAAACTCAAATACAAGAATGTAAGATCAAATTTCGCTAGAAGCTTTGAAAAACACAAATTTTGTATAGGCAAATGTAATATTTAAGTTTGGACGAAATTGCTGGTACTTACATCATCCAACAATCTACTTTCCTCCTCTTCCTCCTCCTCCTCCTGTTCCTCGTCCGGTCTCTCTTCCATGTCATCCATTTCCTCATTTGCAAAAATACTATCACGATTTTCCTCTTCGTCATTT